CAGTGTCACTACTTTCCCTTTACCACCCTTACACTGATAAGGTATCTGTGTAGCACTTTCATTGCAGTGAAAATCATTTGCCGTTGATGAAAACGAGCAGCGATCTAAAAGCATTCAAGACTGAACAGCACAGCCTGGGTGTTTGTTTCCAGTCCGTTCAGATTCTCCGTGTCCTTCCCAATTTTCCCCTTTGTGTCCCCAAATCGGAGTTTTGGCTTGGGAGACCGAGACGGAGCGCACACCATCTTTCCCTTACCCCCGCCTCTTCCTGTTCTCCCCATCCATCCAGACCTCTAATAGCAGGGTAGGCTAACCGAGCGAGAAACAGGCCAGGGTTACCCCAGCGACCCAAACACAGCAGGGGAGAAGGGAAAAGGGAGAGTAGAGGAAGCAGGAATAAAAGAAAGACAGCGAGAGAGACGGAGAGAAAGAAAAGGCAGCTTGTTATTGGTGCCAAGAGTTCAGTCGGCTGGGTCTTTTAATGCCACCTGATCCTATTCTGACGAACCGTGACGAGACAGAGAGAAAACGACCGTTCCAACAACAAGTTTTGTTTTTTTGTTTGTTTTTTTTAACCCTCCACCCCAAAAAAACCCTTCTACTGCTGTAATAGTGAGAATAAAAACTCATTTTCCTTCCACACGTTGCTCCTGTCACTTACTGAGATTACACAGTAAGTGACAGAGGAGTGGCCCTCCTACAGACGACTGCTGCAGATCAGACACTCCTGCAGCATTTTTGTGCTTCAGCTCTTCCAATCTGCTCGAACACGCCATCTTGAGGCGATGCTTTCAGATTGCAGATTGCAGCTGATTGCTGAAGATTTATGCCAAATCATTTCAACAAGCACTGAGGCAGATTACACCGGGTACTTCTGGACAGACGCAGACAAAAAAGGGTTGAGAGAGAGAGAGTGAGACGGTGATAGAAAGCACATCTGTCAGGGTTCGAAAGCTTTAACGTCATTACATAAGAGCACTCGCCTCACCCTCCCATCCCTCGCAACCCACTTTCCAGTCACCCAGTCAGACCAGTGGATGAGGAGGCCCAACAGATGGACAGACATAATCCCCGCCCCCCCCTCTTCTAAACCACGAAGTGATAACTGTTAAGCAGCAGGATGCTTAAGAAAAGCACCATGCAGAAAGGCTAAACAGTCACACTAAACCAAGTGTTTCTCAGATATAACCGCGTTTGTGTTGCTTTCATCGCCTTTTTCCTACAGGCACTGAAGCTTTCTCTATAAAGACCCTGAGGCTTTGGAGCAACCTGCCAACTCACTGTCCTCCTTTGTGTGTAGAATTTGAGGGCTGTTTTTGTTTCTCTTTACAAAGCCAATACTGCTGATAGTCTTAGAGTTTCTAATTAAGAGGTTTGCACAAATGGCTCTATTCTAATTTCCTATGAAATAGTAAAATTTCTCACTGAAGAACAGAGCAGAAATAACTTTATATGTCAAATTGGTCATTAAATGTGTCGTTTCAGCAGCACATATTAACCCTCACACGAGGAACGTAGCCTACTTTTTAAGTGTCAGCTGCACCATGAGGATAATAAAAAGGAAGATTTAGTACAGCTGATTGGAGAAAGGACACAAGGAAAAGGTCATTTAGGGTGAGTGATTCTGAGTGAACGGCAGTTTGTGTGAATAAATCATGGAGCAGGCAGCGTAAGTGTCCATCTCAACTCATTGCTAATAGCCTGTTATAGCTATGGGGAGGGGTGCCAGACATGGGTAGCTGTCCACATCCTGTATGTTTTGGGAATAGATGGGAGGGCGGAGCATTGAACCGCCCTTCATCAGTGCTATTAGACAAGAACCTTACAATGTGGACAGGAACAGGGGTGAAATTTAACAGAGCATCCAAAAAGGATTCACCCCATAATGACAAAGTGAATAAACTTTGCTTGAAATTCTTGCAAATTTATCAAAAATGTAAAACAAAAATATAGCAAGTACATTCACAGCCTTTTCCATGACACATACAAATCGAGCTCAGCTACCTCCTGTTTCCAGTGATCATCTGTCAGATGTTTCTGCACTTGATTGGGGGCCACCTGTGGTAAATTCAGTCGACTGGCTATGATTTGGAAACACACACACCTGTCTTTATCATTGAGGATAGTAATGAGCACAGTGGCCTCCATCATCTGAAAACGGAAGAACTGTGGAGCCGCCAGAACTCTTCCTACAGCTGGCTGGCCAGTCTGGGCAATCGAAGTAAAAGGGCCT